TATTGCCTATAGACAACACTCATAAACTACCTCCGTTGCCTGTTATATTCTCGTGTGTCAGATGCAGTCTAACCCGTACCTACACCCCAGCCGCAGAGCTGGAGTGGCGCGAGGGAGACTCCAATGCTGAGTTGCTATTGGTGGATCGTATCAACAAGATTGTCAGCACTCTCCTGTGCTTCAGTCTCAGTGACAGTGTCGTCAAAGTGGAGATGTGCCGCACAGGCACAGCCGCTTGTAAGTCTTATATTAAGTCTAAATCCCTAATCCTTTCTAACTGTTTTGTAACTCTAAAACCCTAAACCCCAAGTATTTGTGTTGAATCTTAACCTCTAAAGCCTATCCAGTCGTTTGTTGAGTTTAAGCCCCTAAACCCTACTTAAGTGTAACTTGTAGGCAGGACACACCTGCTACATCTGATATACACACAACGAGTGCATCTACCTTTTACCACATACTTCCATCATGATTGTTGTAGGGTTTCACTAAAACTCTAGTCATTGCAGAGTGTGACCTACGAAGTTTTCTGAACTCTACTTTGGTCCAGAGAAGGAACGTCGAATCCACCTAACAACATTCGAGGTTCAAAACCCTACACCCTGAAACCCTAGGACACTCCTAACCTATGAAAACATTATATATCCTAAACCCCTAAAACTTCTAATACATAAAGCGTTAAACCCGTACGCTTTAAGTCCCTATGTCTCCAAACACCGTATTCTGGTTTACTTTTTAAACGTTTGTTCGTCTGTTCACAGATCTCTTGTCAATTGCCCCGACACTGCCGCCGAATGAGCGACTGCTGACTGTGAAGTGCATCAAAAACCTAACCACAGAGGTACGTCAGTGTTGTATATGTTGTGTAGTTCTGTCTCATACTAAACCTTAAACCACACAGGTGCGTTAGTGTTGTGTATTTATATCTCATACTAAAACTTAAACCACAAAGGTACGTTAGTGTTGTGTATTTATATCTCATACTAAAACTTAAACCATACAGATACGTCAGTGGTGTGTATCTATGTCTCATGTGGGGAAACTTTCAAACGTATTCAGGCCTTGTGTGAGGAGTTTACTATGCATGGTTTTTATTAAAAAGGTGTTTTTATTTTGATGTCATACAGACCGCAATACCAAACGTGGGTTATATTTGAGCGGTATGGGGGTGTTGTGTGGTTCTCAACCGTAAAACATCAAACGTGGTTTAGTATAGTGTAGTGTTATAGATCATTCTAGAGAGTACGCCTATATAGTACACACTACAGACTCTCATGAGTTGTAATGTTCTATTGCAATTTGGAAGCGTATCTGTATAACTTACTTTAACCTAAAAGCTTATCTGTCTAAGTCTTGTCATACCAAGCCTTATCTTCTAACATACCTACACGCTCTTATCACATATGAACATACCTACACACTCTTATCAACTATGAACATACCTACACACTCTTACCAACTATGAACATACCTACACACTCTTATCAACTATGAACTTACCTACACACTCTTAGCAGCTATGAGCTTACCTACACACACTTATCAACTATGAAAATACCTACACACTCTTATCAACTATGAACATACCTACACACACTTATCAACTATGAAAGTACCTACACACTCTTATCAACTATGAACATACCTACACACTCTTATCACATATGAGCTTACCTACACACTCTTATCAACTATGAACATACCTACACACTCTTATCACCTATGAGCTTACCTACACACCACAACGCACACATCCCACAGGCCACAGCACTGGACATTCTCGAAAGCTCTGACGTAGTGCAGTCGCTTATTCAAATGCTGTCCCTCAGTAGCGAACGCCCTGTCACCGCCTCGAGTAAGGAGCGGGTATGTGTGCGCTATTTATAGACGGAGTAGCTTATTAGGTTGTGAAGTTTAATAGGTGAATGACTGGACCAGCCCACCTAGTACAGCCCTAGGCTTTTATACATACTTCATGGTTTTAGGGTTTTAGCCTAAAACCCTTAGAGTTAATGGTGTATGGTATACCGCTTTGGTCTGAACCCTATTATTTTAGGGTTTAGGATTTAACACAAACCCTAAGTGGCTGTCGTGGTATACATTCCAACAGCTCTGAATTTGTATTTTTTTAATCAATCCGAATTTGAATTCGTTCCCAATATTTTTAATTCTCCCATAAATCTGATTGAGTATTGTGATGACTGATGTCCCGGTATGGTCCCGATATAGCGGAGTAGAACAGCTCTGACTCCTAATCAGTACACCACATCGTATATATATATATATATATATATATATATA